AATAAGAACCAAGATGCATCATGTAGAGGTACAATTCCCAATGAGAAATGTAATTGTGTTGTATACCTACAATGTACCAATAAAAGAATTTAACAGCAGCAGCAACAACAACAACAATTCCATGTCATGACAAGAGACTGGACAAAACATCATAAGAATGATTGTGTATAGCTTCTGCATGATACATATTTGATTTCATTTTATGGTATAAATCAAGAATATGTTTTTGGCTGTCTTTCTATCTTGCCATCTGAACACTTTCATTAACAATATTCTGAATTTTCTTTGAATCAGGAACTACTGAATGCTATCCAAGATGTCCATGAAATTGAGGGCAATGGGAGACTGGGAGAGAATAGGGAATAAGTAAAATGAAGATATGGTAAAGAGACCTAATAACCTCAGTGAGTGTAAATATTATATGTCATAAACATGAGCTAAGATTAATAATATCAACAAGAATGACAATGGGAAGAGATGCTTTAGAAGAGAAGGGAGCGAATTGGGAGGGAGGGGGAAAGAGATTTAAAAAAAAGAAACAAGCTGGATAATGTAAATATACCCATTCCCCAAGATAATTGTAAATTGTATGTACTGTAAATATCTACTAATAAAAAATAAGAAACAAGCTCGTACAAGTTTAACATCTTGCACTTTAAAAGGACAAAAAACTTAAAATATGAATAATTTAAACTCTTCTACAGATCTGTCCAGTGGCCTTGCAAACTAAACTACTTGAAGAAAGTAAGAGTGTACTTGAAGAATAGTTTTTTTTCTTTACAATACTTTCAATCAGTGATGCTCACAGGCAAACCCAGTAGAAGTTGCCATTTAGTAATTCTCATATGGAACAAACCTTGATGTGGCATTAAATCATTTGTATGAACTTAAGTGATCATAAATCTCTTTAAGCATTTTCTGGGAATCTATTGGCTCAATTAGATGGTGAATTAACTAAGTTGATAGGGTCTATCCTTTAAAATTGTTTGTAGAAGTCAAACCCAGATCAAAAAGAAAATGAACTATGTGCTTTCCCTATCATGTGTTTCTAATTTTTTCCAATGATAAAAACTTGTACAGTACAAATTGTTCCTTAGAGAGAAGTTTTCTTTTTAAACACAAAATACTAACTATAAATGGTATCACATAATTCTAATTGAGTATGCTTCATAGTAGACATTTCCCAGTGAGAGAAAGTTCAAAAAGCATACTTTAAGGTAGGAAGGGAAGCCAACTGGATGATTTCTGGACAGACCGTCTGCAAGATTGTATTTCAGCTTTACAGTAAATAAGCTCCATGATCTTCAATATGCCCATATTCATTCTGATCCTCTATGTCCTCATATAAATAAAGGAGAGCAAATATTAGGTATTTTTTATTACTTTGTGATGCTGCTCTATGACACCATGACTGAATGCTGCACAGTTGATTGATACTGGAATCAACAAATTAAAAATCAATTTGATTTATGCTCCAGCTGTATTATCTCAAACTTACTTCATTTCACTAAAATTCAGTTTCTTCATCTAGAAAATGGGATAATAACGTGTATAAATGTAAGGACAGTTAGAGAGGGATATAGATAGGGATGATGTAGAACATAACCTAGTTGGCCAAGGGTTGTGTATTTACCACGAGATTATCATACACCATGTACCTGAGTAAGCTACCTTTTGTGAAATTATTACATGTACTCACCATGTGCCCCTTAGCACCCTGACCTTTCCTCAACCCAGAAACAAAGGCTAAGACCCTGATTGGCTTAGATTATGTCAATCACTGAAACAGTTATTTTAGGGACCAGCTCACTGTATAAGTATTTGCAGGAGGAAGGAAGACTCCATGTTGGGAAATTCAGTCAAATTTCCCTTGCCTTGTAGCATTTCCAGTTATCTGGCAACTGTTGCTTGCTTTCGCGACCTTATAAATAAAACCTTTGCTTTGCATTACTTTCATTTCTGACTTCCTCATTCTCCGCCAGGGCGCCTTAGGGTCTGAGCCAGTCGCACCTCACTTCCCCACTCTGCTGGAGTGGAGGTGAGGAAGCCCGAGAAAGAGGAGGGTTACTGGGTACCCAGTCCCTCAAAGACCACCCACCTGACGCAACAACGTAAGGATAAAATACAGTAATGTGTTTGGCATTTTCCCTGACATATAGAAAACACCCGGTGAGAAGGTACAATTTAGTGAAGGAGTTAGGAGTGGAGACTAGATCCCAGCTGCCAGATTCATATCCTGGCTCTTACCATCTGTATGACTTTAGGCAAAACAACATCTATGTAATTCACTTCTCTTTCCTGAAAAATAGTTACAGTATGCTGTTTTCATTAGGTAACTACATAAAACATTAAGAATAGTCCCTGGCGGGCCGGGGATTTAGCTCAGTGGTGCCGCGCCTGCCTCACAAGTGCAAGGTCCTGAGTTCAATCACTGGTACCGAAAAGAATAAAATAAAATAAATAAATTTTTTAAAAAAAGTCCCTGGCAAATAGTACCTCTCAAAAGATATTAGTTTCCATTTTATTTCAGATTTGTTTATAGCCATAATTCATTAGCTTCTATAAGGTTAATGTTCATTTGTGTGAAAGTCATAGTTTTTTTTGTACAAACCACCTTATTTCACATATTTAGGTAGATGAAAATAAATTATGGATTAGATAAATCATTTAAAACAAATGACAGAAAGAATGCCAAGTACTGACCCTGTTACCTGGGGAGAGAGTGCGTGTGAACTTGTTTTCAGACTTGCTGGCAAAGCACAGGTGGTGTCACAGATGCACGTGCTACCTGTGCTGACAGCACCCACCTGCACAGGGCCCCGCTGGTAACTGTCACCAGGCGCTCTCTGGCCGTAACATCTCTTTGGATAGATTGCTTGCCTGCCATTCTTTTTTGATATTTGGAGGGGGTTCATCTCCAGTTAGACAAAGTATCTTGGATCCTTGCTTAGGCGCATAGATATGGTAAGAATTGTATAAACATATTCCCAGATGATTTTCCATTCTTAGCTTCTTCTGCTTAATATTCAAATCCACTTATCTTTTTTGTAAGCTATCTATTAGGAATCTGAAGGGACTTTCACTGGCTGTTAGGACTCTACAAAAAATGTTCTTGGTGAGTCTGTGCCCTAAATACTGTCATTTGAGGGCTGCTGCTGCTGCCCAGAAAATTCATGAAGTGGTGGGAAGAATAGTGGAGGAGGAGTTGGGAACACCCAGGCATTAGATTAAGTTTTTTAGAAACTTTTGTGTAGGTATTTTCCTCACCGTACCATCAGCATTCCCTAACTCTAGGAAAGCTATCTTCTTTCTGTTGTACTTTTTTTGGGAGGGTGCCTCATAGCACATAGACGTAGCTATTATATGCAGTAAAAATAACATTTTATGATAAATACAGTATTTGTGACTTTTGGGGGAAAAATTAAACATGCTGTACAACCTAGTTTAGTTCTTCTAACCAGCAGACTTATTATAGGAGGATGGTTGCAATGAAATTCTTATAATCAGTTGAAGCAAATATTATTATTGGCTTCTTCCAATTCCTTCAATCACACAAGATGCTTTAGAACTGTCACAAAGAGGAAACATACAGCATTTGGCACCTGTGGTATCTGGTATTAAATAAGATTTTTATTCAGAAAAAATTTAACTTGACAATTTTGACAATTTGAAGGTAAAATTAATGGATTCCCAACACAATGCTTGGAATATTATGAATACCCAAAATGATACTGATATTAGAATTAAAAGTATGATACTTAATGTATTGGTGATACAGGTAAGGGGAAGGAACACTAGTTTTCTTTTATTTTCCTTACAGCATGAGCATATTGAATCAGAGAATCATGAATTCCATCAGTGAAAGAATCCCAAGAAACCACCTAGTCCAGTCTACATTCAGACATAGAAGGTATTATTATTATTTTATTATTTTATTATTTTCAGTTGGTTTATGAAACAAGTGAGGCCTAAAGATGATGATTTTGTGCCTACACACACAAAATGGAGTCTTGATTCAGACCAGCTATCCTTTAATGTAATTTTTTTCATTTCTTGATGTTATTTCATTATATAAATGAGGCGTTTTTGTATTAGCAAACATTGGCAGCATATAAATATTCCAAGGTTCCTGAAATGAATTTTTAGATAAATATAATATTTCTAATGTGCCAGTGAAGTATCATTTCTTCCCACAAGTTTGTTCTCCATATAGAAAATCATGAAGATGCATTCAATGCTGCTGTTCTAGGTTTCAGCTGCTGCTTTCTCTGGTACCTGATAGGAACTCTCTAAGTGATATCAAATGTCATTTGGCCAATTCCTTTGGTCTCTCTCAGGAAGAAAAGAATTATTAATAGTGTCATGATTTTTATTCATCTTATTTTAAAACCAAGATTTTAGTTGGAAATGGTCTTCAAAGTAGGCAATTTTATGTGGGTATGTTTACTAAATTGCTTGCAGCTCAAATTCTAGTTTACACAACATGTTTTGTTGCATTTAGCTGAACTCCATGATTACTTGAGGAAAATGACTTTGTTATTTCAATTAACTACAAAATAGCCTACATTAAACTTGTTTAGCAAGTGAAAAATTTACTGCATTTACTTTGATATTTGTAATCTGATCAGCAGCTTTTCTGAAAGTTTTCCTCCAAGAAGTAGTGACATTAATTATAATTGAGTAATATTTCACCTACTGATAAGGTCCTTATGTGATGGTTGTAGACTGCATATTGTAATGCTAAATTCATCCAGCAATAATGCTACCAGTTTAATGAATAGCAACAGTTTGACTTTTTTTTTTTTTTTTTTGTACTGGGGATCAAACTTGGGGCCTTGCATTTGCGAGGCAGGTGGTGGTACCACTGAGCTAAATCCCTAGCCTATATATTGTTATTTTTAAGACTATTATTTTCAATTGCTGAATAGCATAAAATGTTAGGAAATATTTTCTTGGCATAAAACCATGCCAAAAATACTTCCCAACGTATTTCTTTGTGGTCATTAAAATTCCTGGCTTTCATTTATTTTATTGCAATATGAATGCATTCAGTTACTTTATTTTGTGTTTGAAACATCTTTTTTTCAGCTGTATAACCATTTGAATTTTTACTTTTCTGGAAAGGCGTTTACATAAAAAATTTTTTATTATTACTTCTGCTGATTTATCTTTGAACTCTGATGTAACTACTCTGTACATATGCTTGGTTTGATGATCCATGTCATGTTTCTGTGTTTATCTCCCATTAAACATGAAACTTTTGACTTGATAGGCCAGGATATTCAAACATGTCATCTGGTAGATTTTCACACCCTTTATCAAGAAATCGCCAGAATTACACTCATAAATTTCAGACTTTGCCTAGAGAATATGTATATTTATGATTAAAACAAAGATTTGACATAGAAAATTGATTTGTTGTCTAAAACTGAATGTTCTGGTACATACTTGCTATACTTCATTATGCACTGAGTATCCTTGTTTCTAATCCTCTGTATGATGTTTCTCAGGTATTTGTTTCCTATTCTATATCAAACAGCCAGTTTTATTTGGAGAAATGTTTGTATGGTGGGAAGTATTGTCAGAAAGTGGTTGTAGGTCACAATGCAATAACAAAATGACATTACTATTTATTTGCAAACTATCATTATTTATGAAAAGGGTCAAAAACTTTAAATAAATACACTAAAAATTTAACACATATTGAAGAAAAAGTGTAACATTTAAAAGTGATCAAAATTGCTGGGGATTTAGCTCAGTTGCACTGCACCTGCCTTGGAAGTGCAAGGTACTGAATTCAATCCCTAGTACCAAAAACAACAATAAAAGATCAAAATGTAAATTAATAATACTAGATATGCTAAATAACATCTTGATAATAAAATTGTACAAATAGAAAACTATACAAATCAATTGAACAGAATTTAAAGTACTAATGAAATACGAAATTATATAATGAACTTTTTAAAGATACAATAATACATTGAGAAGGATGTTTGTGTTAGAAAATCAGTTCTTTGTAAAAGAAGTTTGAGTTCCTCCATAAGCTTCTGCTTCTACTCTAAGCAGGGGAATTGTGAAGAGATAATTCCATTTAATTCCAGAATAATCTATTTGGTAAATATGAGCATTTTTATAGCTATTTTTGAATTCTAATGGGCTATCGATGACATACTTTTGTTTCATAAAGAATATTTCTGGTTCATCTTTGTCTCCTTTAATCATGAAAACATGGAGATTTCAGTGCAAGGACATATGTGTCATTTTTAGTTCTTTCATTTTTCTATTCCACTTGTTCAGAAAATCTTTGAACTTGAGCTAAGCCTCATCCCTTTAGAGAAACTATACAATGTTAA